GATGTAATGTATGGGGATTAACATAAGAATAAAAAAAAAAAAAGGAGTTGACTGCAATTGCTACTCAACTTTTTTTGGAACAGAGAAGATAATTCCCCACAGAAATAAAAAGTATATGGTGTCTCCGGTCCCAGACTAGAATAGAATGACTTACTTTCTGGCAATATTTTTGAAAGTAGATTGAAATAATTCTTCCATAACATGTTGCTGTTCCCGACAAAGAATTTCCGTCATCAACTGTAACAATACAGGACTTTGAGATAATTCCAATGCATCTAGAAACTAGAGAAAAAAAAATTTTCTTGGATCTTTATTTTTGTTTTGTTCTTACCAGTAATAACAAAATGGAAAATTAAAACCGGGTTTCACAGAGAAGTTACAAATGCTAACATTTTTGCCATTTCTGCAGCTACAGTGAATGCCTGGCATATAATGACGTTTGCTAAATATTTGAGTTTTGATTCTTTTAAGGTTTTGCAGATGTTTTTTCTCTTACAGCAGGCAGGATCTTCTGAAAGATCTGATTCCAGGTTCTGACATTCCACGATGATGTGACTTTACTGAGGTTTTTGTCTTCACCATTCCAGGTACTCTGGGGGCTTTTTTATTTTGGAGACATGTCTTTTCCACACCATCTTCACTGCACAGCAGCTGTTCTAGGCTGTTCATCTAATGTTCTCTACTCCCCCATTTTCCATCTTGATGTCTGTTTGTTCTACTTTCTAGGAAATAGCCTCAATTTTATCTTCTGTTTTGTGAATTTTTTTAAAATTTTGCTTTTATATATTTAATTTCCAAGAGCACTTATTTGTTCTACTTCACAGACACAATGCCTTCTCTCATCTCTGAAACTACTCTTACAGTTTCTTTGATGTTCTCACCTCCCATCTCCCTTTGTTGACTCAGTTCCCTCTGAGTTCCTTTTTCCTGTTGGTTTACATCTTTTAAGGTTGGAAGCTTCCTTCAAATGTTCAGTGACTGTACTTATATTTACATTAGCACATTTACATTAAGAGAAAGTACCAAAGATCTATGTAGAAGCTTTGCGGATACTATAACCGTTAGGTAACAGACTGCTTGGGAAACAGGATGCTTAGATGGCACCTACATAATGGTGTCACCCCATTAATGACCTGCTGATTACAGGAATGCACCATTCAAGAAAGGTGACTGGCAAGCTAGAGGCAGCATGTATCCTGAGCATTGAGAGTGGCACCACCAAGCTCTTTCCCCAGAAACTACACTCAGCATCTCAGCATCAAGCCACCATAGCTTTGAACTGTTGTCTTTGAGCATCTGTGCTTTATCTCAATTTATTCTGTGCACCTATTAGCAAGATGTGTCCTTTGGGATCAAAAGGGTCTAAGAGAGGATATTTTTTGGGTCTGGGAATGCTCAAAAAATTTCCATACAAATTAATGGTAATTGCTTATTTGCTTTATGACATTTTGGCTTACAAAAGTTTTCACAGAAATGTTCCACTTCTGGATAGCAGGGCAAACCTGTATATAGTTGCTATAAATAACAACAATCTAGTATTGTACGGAAAAACAATCTACCACCTTGTTTAAGCCACTGGTATTTTTAGAGACCCTCATCTATATATTAAATAATATAGGTGATAATCACTAAATGTTTCTCAAATAACCACTACTTTATTCTATTTCTTAGCTCTTTTTGGCATTAATTTTCAAAATTTATACATTATGCATAGAATATTTCACAATGTTTTTCTGCATAAAAGATTTCAATTTAAAACGGGAGGGAATGAATTCCAAAGGATTTAGATATGCATCTGCCTCCACAGCTACCCAGCTTTCAAAATGAATTGAACTGAATTCTTAAAGTTACAATACCTCTCTGGCTCTGAATATTTCACTTACTTCTTTTCATCAAGAAATTTAACAGAAATACAATGTTTTAACTTCACTTGGTACTACTAAAAACTAACCTTTTTCATGCAGTCTACATAATTATTGTACCGCAGAGTTCCCGGGGGAAATTCTTCAGACTTCATGGGGAAATTAGAAATGATAAGCTTTTCAAGGACATGCTTAAGGTCCTCAAGACTGCCTCCAGTAAGATTGGTGAAGAATGGAAGAAGAATTACAGCCTGACCCTGTGGGAGCAATGCAGACATAATGAAATTGCACCAGTCAGGGCTTATGAATCCTATAGAATAAATAAAATTACTGCTTTCTTAAGGCTTTGCAAATAAAGCATTGTGTGGATTCAATGAATGACTTCAGAATACCTTCTAGATTACACTGAAAACCAACCTGAACACAATACTGTATCTTAGCTTCTACTCTAGAGGCCAGCAGGCCAACTCAGGGCTATACGTGTAATTAAATAGGACACTGTATGATGATGCTGTGTGATTTCTCCTTCTACAAATACAGACTCTCATACAGATACACTGGATAAGTTTGGTGTGGAAAGAGCATACTGAACAACCTATGGGAAAATTTATAAATATTTCTCATAGAGCTAATTCAGAAGTTTATAACAAGAGTAAAAGAAACTAGATGGTATTTCTTATCTCCCTTGCGTGGCAAGAAAGTTCCCAGGCTCCCTCATACTGAGGAATGAGAAACTTGATTAACCACAGAACAGAAAATTCCAAAGAAATATCCTTACAGTCTACTAAAAAGACGTCTTTCATTAAGACCATATTTTATTAGAACATAAAATCTAATTATTATAGGACTTTAAAATTATAATATTAAGTTCTTGACTCTAAAAATTACCAAGATATAGTTATTAATAGAAAAATGACTAATAGTTTAAATTCTGTCATTCACTAATAGAGCAATTCTCAAAAAAGCCAATTTGAACCACACATATGAAAAGACAAATATTAATTCTTCTAAGTATGGGAAACTCATTGTGATTATATTTATCTTTTAGAGAGACATAAAAAAGTATGTGCAGATCAAATAACATGATGCCAGGGGTATCTTTCAAGGGTAGGAGTGGCTGCATAGTTGAAACAGACATGCCCATAGACAGATGGCTATTGAGGCTGAGTGACAGGTACACAAGGGTCACATAATCTCTGCTTTTGAGTATGTGTGAAATTTTCCATAATAAAAAACAGAAAACATCACAAATATGTAAAAATATAAAATGGGAAAATAATGGAGAATGTAATCTGAAAGAAAAATCTTTTTCATCACTTACCTTTAAATGTAAACCCAACTTTGAATCAGCAAGTAGACTAGCATATGTTGTAAAGACTTCAGGGAATGCACTGTGATTTGTATTAAAAGATACAGATGAATCAATCTAAAGGAGAGGAAATAAAACATGATACATTTCTGTATTATGCCTCTAATTTCCTTTAACATAGTTTCTAAGTTTTTTAATTTCAGAAATAATCTAGAAATTTGTTCTTCGGCTTCAACAATATTTTAACAATTCTTGTTCTGAAATATTTTAAATTTATCTGCTAAGACAATGCATGTAAAGACACTAAAAGGTAAAGTATAGGAAAGGATAATGAATATAAATGATAATAATGGAAAAAGTATAAAATGTAAGGTAATCAGCAAATGTCCAGTGAAAGTATTTTTTTACTTATCAAAGCAATGAGCTTCTTAAGAAATCTCCATCACATTTTTAAAGATAAAACTTACAGAGTCTAAAACAACTTCCTTTTTAAGGTTTCTCAAGGTACCTGCAAAATTTTGGCCAGTAAGGTCAGCACTGCTGTTTTACTTTCAGGAGCAGAATCTTTGGCCCACCAGGAGTCCCACTTCTTCCAGTTGTGCAGAATTGTACTCGCAAGTTTCAGTCCTTGGTGTTTCTGGCTGGCTCGATCCCTGAAGCTCTGATCTAACATACCATTCAGAACGGTGCTTACCTGAAATAAGTGTGTGTGGTACTTGAAGAAAAATCCTCAGTATCAAGACTGATGGATATATAACAAAATCTACTTTTAGTTCAAAGCTATTCTTGGAAAATAAAGATGCTATTTCTGTAACAGCTATTTATTTCATAACTCCTCAAATTTGAGAAGAAAAACTTAACATGTAAATTTTCCCACAAAAGCATAAGGTGGTCTCCTTTATGAAATCATTTTCATCCTATTGCTTATTTTCTTAGTTGGGAGCATTCTTGATGAGAGGAAGAATTAACTCTCCTCTGTTATACAGGCACATGCACAGAAGCATATACACATGCTTGCACACACACACACATTTCCTGTCCCAACACCTTTCCAGTAGCTGACATCCTAATTTTGGTTAGATTAATAGTCAATATTCTTATCATTATGACAATGCAATCATTTTTACACAACATTCTGATCTCCCTGAAGTAGTAACTTGCCTGCTTTCTTTGCTGTTTTCAATGTGCCTATCATTATTTGCCATCAAACTCTCCCCAATTAATGAAATCACCTCAAGACATCTAAACACATCAGGAAGTCTATCAGCTCCATCTCAGTGGCAACATAGCTCCCACTCTGGAATGTCTGTGATCACTGCCCTCTGGGTGTCACTTCAGCACCCTCCAGGAGAATGGTCCCCTTCTCTGTGTTTGAGCCAACTTCCCAGATCCAACATTTTCCACTTTCTTGGCTGACTGATGAGAGTGCACAGGAGATAAGATTCCTTTGAGATCTGGAACATCTGAAACATCTGCATTCAACTCTCACACATGACTGATAGTCTAGCCAGATTCAGAACTCTAGGTTGGAATCTTCTTTGCTGAATTGTGAAAGGAATTTGGCTTACAGTCTTCTAGTGTCCACTCTGCAGTTGCAAAGACAAACGGCATCTGATTTCTTGATCCTTTAAAATGTAATCAGGTTCTCTTGCAGAAACTTTTTAGAATCTTTTCTCATGGTGAAGCCCCTGGGGTTCTGAATTGTCAAGAAATTTGCTCCATGTGAGGTTGCTTTCATACACTGTGCTCGATACTCAATGGCCCTTTCCCAGCTGGAAGCTCAAGGCCTTCATTTCTGGGACATTCTCTTGAGGGCCTATCTTCCCCCTGAGGAGGAGGTCCTGGTGCTGGACCTTATCAGTGGATCCCAAGTTTCATCATGTTTTCTCTATTACTTTCTGTTTTGTCTTTTACTTTATTCTCTGGGAGAGTTTCTAAATTTTATCTTCCAAACCCATTTCATTTTTTAATTTCTGATGCCTATGCTTAATTCTCAAATGTTCTTTTTTGTTCAGTGTTCTTTTCAGTAGCAATTCTTATTTCGTCAGTAAGCTATCTTCTTTCATTTCTGTGGTTCTTTTCTCTTTACATTTCCATTTCACTGAATAGTCTCTGTGTCAAATAGCTTTTTACCTGCCTATCCCTTTTAGAATCCATTTCCTCGATGCCTGGTGCTCCCTGGCTGTTGGCACATATTGAGACACTGACTAAAAGTACTGGGCAGTGGCAAGGTCACTGGCAATAAGGATCAGTGAAGGTTGGCTGGGCAATGATGACACTTAATCTTCATTTTCTCTTAGGCTTGTCAAAGTATTCTGATATCCTGTCTGAAGGTATTATACCTAACCAACCATATTCTGGGAGCCAACCTGGGGGAAGAGAGCTAAAAGCCTCAAAGTTCAGAATTCAGGGAGGCTTTCACTTAACTTCCTTGTTTCAAAAAGGTATTTCTACACCAAAGATATACAAAGGATCATAAAAGACCATTATGAACAATTATTCACCAACAAATTGGACAACCTAGAAAAAACCTGATAAATTCCTAGAAATATACAACTTACCAGGATTGAATCTTGAGGAGATAATTTGAACAGACCAATTAATAGTAAGGAGGTTGAATCAGTAATCAAAAACCTCTCAACAAACAAAAGTTCAGGACCAGATAGCTTCACTGTGAATCCTACCAAACATTTAAGGAAGAACTAAGACCAATCCTCAAATTCTTCTAAAAAAACTAGAAGACAAGTCAACACTTCCACACTCATTCCATGAGGCCAGCATTATCCTGATACGAAAACCAGACAAGGAAACTACAAGAAAATTACAGGAAAATATCTCTGATGAACAAAGATGCAAAACTCCTCAACAAAACATCAGCATACCAAATTCAACAATACATTAAAAGGATCATATACCATGATCAAGTGGGGTTTATTTCAGGGATGCCAGGATGGTTCAACATCTGCAAATCAATTAGCGTGATATACCACATTAACAAAATAAAGGACAAAAATCATAGGATCATCTTAATAGATACAGAAAAAACATCTGATAAAATTCAACAACCATTCATGATAAGACTCAACAAATCAGGTACAGAGGGAACATACTTCAACATAGTAAAAGCCATATATGATAAATGCACAGCTGACATCACACTTGATAGTGAAAAATTAAGAGCTTTTTCCCTAGTCAGGAACAAGAAAAGGATGTCCACTCTTACCACTTTTATTCACCATAGTATTGGAAGTCCTAGCCATAGCAATCAGACAAGAAAAAGAAAGAAAGAGCATCAAAAACAGAAGGGAAGAAGTAACACTGTCTCTGTTTGCAGATAGCATATTATATATAGGAAACCCTGAAGACTCCACCAAAAAACTATTAAAATTAATCAATAAATTCAGTAAAGCTGCAGGACACAAAATCAATATACAAAAATCTGTTGCATTTCTATACACTAATAACCAACTATCAGAAAGTGAAATTAAGAAAACAATCCCATTTACAATTGCATCAAACAGAATAAAACACCTAGGAATAAATTAAACCAAGGAGATTAAAAACCTGTATGATGAAAACTAGAAGACACTGATGAAAAAAACTGAAGATGCAAATAACTGGAAGGATACCCTGTACTCATGGAATAGAATAATTAATATTGTCAAAATGTTGGTATTATCCAAAGCAATCTACAGATTCAATATAATCCCTATCAAAATTCCAATGGAATTTTTCATAGAAATAGAACAAGCAATCCTAAAATTTGTATGGAACCACAAAAGACCCTGAATAATCAAAGCAATCCTGAGAAAGAACAACAAAGCTGGAGGCATTATGCTTCCTGATTTCATGCTATGTCAAAGTAATCAAAACAATACAGTATTGGCATAAAAATAGACACATAGATCAATGGAACAGAACGGAGAGCCCAGAAATAAACACATGCAAGGAGCCAAGAATATACAATGAAGGACAAAGAAGCCAAAAATATACAATGGAGAAAGGATAGTCTCTTCAATAAATGGTACTGGGAAAACTGGACAGCTACATGCAAAAGAATGAAACTTGAAATCTATTTTACACCATACATAAAAATCAACTCAAAATGTATTAAAGACTTGAACTTAATACCTGAAGCCATACAATTCCTTAAGGGATAAGCTCCTTGACATTGGTCTTAGCAATGATTGTTTTTTTGGATTTCACACCAAAAGCAAAGGCTACAATAGTAAAAATAAACAAGTGGAACTACATCAAACTAAAAAGTTTCTGCACAGCAAAAGAAATCACCAACAAAATGAAAAGGCAAGCTATAAAATGGCAGAAAATATCTGTAAATCTTGTATCTGATAAGGGGTTAATATCCAAAATATATGAAGGACTCATACAACTCAACAGCAAAAAAAATCAAACAATCTAATTTAAAAATGGGCAGAGGAACTGAATAGACATTTTTCCAAAGAAGACAGGTAGTCAAAAGGTACATGAAAAGATACATGAAAATGCTCAACATCATTAATCATCAGGAATATGCAAATCAAAACCATAGTGAGGTATCATCTCATACCTGTAAGAACAACTAGCATCAAAAAGACAAAAGTGTTGGTGAGGATGTGAAGAAAAGGGCACTCTTGTGCACTGCTAGTGGGAGTGTAAACTGGTGCAGCCACTATGGAATACAGTGTGGCAGTCCTTCCAAAAATTAAAAACAGAAGTACCATATGGTCCGGCAATTCCACTTCTGGGTATTTATCTGAAGAAAAGGAGATCACTATCTAAAAAATATATCTGCATCCCCATGTTCATTGCAACATTATGTACAATAGCCAAAGACATGGAAACAAACTAAGTGTCCATCAGCAGATGAATAAAGAAGATGTGGTATATACATATACAATGAAATTTTTTCAGCCATTATAAAGAAGAAAATTCTGCCAATTGTCACAACATAGATTTGACCCTGACAACATTATGCTAAGTGAAATGGATCCTACAGAAAAAGTTAAATACTGTGTATCATTTATACATGGAATCTAAAAAATCAAACTCATAGGGAACAGACTGGTGCTTGCTAGAGGCAGGGGATGTGAAGTTGGGCAAAATGAATGAAAGTGGTCAAAGGTGCAACTTCCAGTTATAAGATAATTAAGTTCTGGAGATGTAATGTACAGCATGGTGACTGAAGTTAACAATCTGTATCACATATCCGAAAAATGCTGATGTGCTTAAAAGTTCTCATTGCATGGAAAAAATTTTATCAATATAAGGTGATGAACATTAAACTTATCACAGTAATCATTCTGTATGATTATCAAATTTGATTAAATCAAATCAGCATGTTGTACACCTAAAACTGACAAAATGTTATATATCAATCATATCTCCATAAATTTGGAAAAAAGAAAAAGAATATTCATTCATGTGAATGGTTATAAAATAAACAAAATCAGTAGTTTTCTGATTACCACATCCTTGAAAAGAAAATAAAAAGGTGGGGAGCCTGGGTAGCTCGGTCAGTTAAGAGTCTGACTCTTGATTTCAGCTCAGGTCATGATCTCAGGTTCATGAGACTGAGCCCTGTGTCAGGCTCCATGCTCAGCCAGGGAGTCTGCTTCTATCTCTCTCTCTCTCTCTCTCCCCCACCCCCTTTGGCCCTCCCCCACTCATTTTCTCTCTCTCTCTTTCAAATAAATAAATCTTTCCAAAAAAAAAAAATATAAAGGGAAAATGTTCCATTTACATTTACAACTGAATAGCATCCAATATCTAGAAATGTTCTTAAGAAATGTGCAGTAACTAGATGAATAAAATGACAGCATTCTACATAATAGTATGACAAAAAAAATTTGAGAATATGAGTAAAGGTTTGAATAAATGGAAATATGTACCTTAGAAGAAGTAGGCTTATGTTTAAAAAGGTCAATTTGGTTTAAATTTACTCAATATTCGGTGTATTATCACTTAAAATCCCTACCATGTTGTGGAAAGGGTGATAACCCAAAAAAACGATTCTAAATTTCACTTTCAAGAATATGCAAGTGTGCTCTTTGCATTATTTATATTTGCTAAAAAAAGAACCTATGAAAGTAACAGAAGAAAAGATGGGCAGATTTTAGACAGATAATACTGGGGTGAAGAAGGCCTTTCTAAGTATGACATGGAAGATAGGAATGATAGAAAAGAAGATTAATAAATTTAACTATAATAAATATTTCTGTATAGAATAAACACTCTAAGTGAGATTGAAAGACAAATGGCCAATAGGAAAAAGTACTTTCTGCATACATGACAGAGGTCTACTATCCTTAATATACAAAAATCTCTTAAAAATTAGTAAGAAGTTTCACCCCAAAAGAAAAATGGGCAAAATACAAAAATACAGCACACACCAGAAATATTTTGGTTGTTCAAAAATACTAGTGGGAGACTAAGGTCAGAAGAGTGGGAGAAGTGACATTAAACTTGAGAGATCAAAGTACAAGAGTTCTCACTTATGGAATAATAAAATGTTTTTTATATAGTGTGACGTATTTCAAACTCTACGTCATTGCTCAAAGAAATACTGGTGTTTATATACAGAACATGACTCTTATCTTTATAGGTCTTTCAATTAAAAAGAAAAAAATTTAAAGAAAAGGTATCCTACACTCAACTCTGCCTAGAGTGCCCCAGTGCAGAGATACTTATCCCTTCCAGAGATGTGGCTGCCCCAGTGTCCTCAAGTGCAGAAGGATCAGTTCCTTGAGGACAAGGCAAGGCCAGGTGACCTGGCAGGGGACAGCTAACATTCACACAGTCCTCCTCTTTTCAGCACAAATCAGCTGCCCATCCCCCACCACTATGTTACACTGCAGTTTTCTTGGACTCTAAAGTCTGTTATAACTTGTCTTTTTGCTTTCTAGCTTCCAAAATGCTGTCACTCTTGTCTTTCCTCCTTTAATGTGTCTTTTAACATTGTGCTTTAAAAACAAAAACAAAACAAAAAAGACCCATTTCTGTCACTTTAGAGGGAACCCAAGAGAAAGTAGAGGTGAATATGTATGGTTTTTATCCATTACCTTCACCAGAAGTCTGAACAGCTTCAGAGATCATAATGTTCTATTTCCTGGGTGTCACGGGTCTACTAAAAGTTCATTTCTAACTTTAAATACAAATACCTAGTACAACCTGCCACAAAATACTCCCCCTACGACAGACAACAAGCACTGTTTGGAATAAAAGCTTAACTCAGTAGGAAATGATGCATTCTCCCTTAAAATGGTCATTCCCAATAGTTCCCAGCTCCTGACCATCTACAGACTGGGTTAAATTTCAAAATTTTACAAGTTTAGCAAACCAAAGTCAACTATGTATTAAATACTGAGATCCAAGGTTCAACGTGAGGGGGCAAAGTGGGCTACAGCAGGAGCACACAGGAAATAATGACTCTCTGTACCAACCTGTGAAAGGACCATGACTACAGAAAGCACCGGAGTGCACAAAACCAGCTGGCAGCTGGTGCAAAAACAAAGGCAGGCTCAGGCCTCATGACAGGCTTATGAGATCCAAAACCACTTCTTCACAAAAGTTTATACTACATAGCTGTGCCTTGTAATATTCAGCCTAGAGATTCTGAGGGAGTGAGAGATTAAAAAAAATAATCACTGTTTCAATGTCCACTTAACATTATTAAATGTTCATTAAAGCTGGGTTTTCTTTCCTTTGATTTTGTTTTCAAACATTGGCAAGAGCTTTAAACCTTCCGGGAAGAGAAACTGTTTTGTTTAGACATTTTTCAAGAATATGGCAATCTTTTTATAGGCATTATATAAGAAAACATATTTCACTTAAGTAAAAATTTCACAATGAACTCACAAGTGTAGGTAGTGTATGACGTGGGGGGCAAATCTCTGGCTAACACCACAAGGGTCTCTGGCCCAATGAGTGGAGTCTGATGGTAATTCTTGCTACAAGTAAAAAAAAAGTAAAAATAAAAAAAAATTCATTACCATTTTGGGATTATCCACAGATGATTTCATGAGCTCCAATACAGCAAGATCTAGATTTTTCAATAATTCAGTGTTGATTGTTTCTGAGAACAAGCTATAAAAATACTCTCCGTGAGAGAAGCTGACCATGTTTCTCTGGGACACTCCTGGGGCTGGCTTAGACAACACTGCTGTGTCCAGGAGAAGATTCACAAGGTGCTCACACTGAAAAAGCAAGGAAAGGTACAATGACAGGAGTATGTATTTTACCCATTAGAGAAAGACTCCTGGGAAGCTGCTACCTTTGGAAGTAGAAAATCACACAGTAAGGTCTAAAGAGAACCTGGTATTTGAAGGCCTGGGTTCAAGTTTGAATTGTATACATTTCAACAAGCTTGCATTTTCTAGGTTTCATTTTGGGAAAGAAATCTTCCTTGACTCATGTTTCTCCCAAATTTCCAGAAAATCTTGTTGTTGTTGCTCTTGAGGGGAGAGGCTAGTAAGGGCATTTTTAGACCATTTAAACACGTGATTTGTTTATATTAAGTGAACAAATGGGCAAAGAAGAGCTTTCTGCTACAGGAAAGGGAAGACAGGTAGAAGGAATGAACACAAAGGACTGGCTAGCAGATCTCAGCTACAGCAGAGACTGTGTGAGACCAGCCCTGAACAGTTTGAAAATCCATGAAGATATCTTTCTGTGGTGCCTCTGGAATTATCCTCCAGGGGTGCTCCCAAATCAGCCATCTGAAAATCACAAAGGACAGGGGAAGAGGAAGCCACTGTGTCAACACAGTTCAGCTTTATAGTCACAAAATGTTCTCTGCCTTATAAAGTCTTTTTGGAAACAAAGTGCAATAGACAAAACCCCAATTTAAGAAGAATATTGTCCTATTTCTTTTATTAAAAAAAAACCTTTTAGAAAGGAAGTCAGATCATATAAATCTATTAAAGTACTTGCTTAGCTAAGAACTTACTAAATTCCAGCTAAATTCTTGTTTTTAGGAACACACTGTAAGTGAACTATATATTTACATCATTAGGATAGCATAGCATGTAGCTGCTGTTCCTACCAGTCCTCCAAAAGCAAAGGCCAACTCCAGAAGTCCACTGGCTAATCGCTTACAACTGGGGTCTAGTGAAGGAAAATACTCTCGTTCATCTCCAGGTGCAATGCTTTTATAAACCAGGGAAAGAAGTTCTGTGCCAAGAGAATGATGCTGATCTGCAGACTAAAATAAAGTCAACACTGAAACATCCAGCAATAAGATATTTTATAGAAACACAATTTCACACCTTTCATGAATTAAAAAAATCCGTGTTCATTAACACTGACTGCATTCTAATCGTCAGGAAAATCTTCACTCAACTTTGCTTTCTATGCTATATTTTTTCATTTATATTGCCTACCCACAAAGGCACGATAGCAGTTCGTCCCTAAAGTTCTTCAAAAGCCTGTTGGAAATATAAATGTCCTTCATTTTATTTTATATTTATAAATTTTTATATTTATATTCTAAGTTAACACATGTCTGGCACAAATAATTCTGTAACACCCACTTCAGCACATTCCATACATACAGGATGTTTAAAACACATATATAAATAAATGGACTAATTAGCTTAATAAAGCTAAGAGAAATGTAAAAACAGATTGGCTGTGGTTACCTGAGATGGTAATACAACATGCAAAAAACCAGCTCTGTGAAGTTGTCTACAAGCTGACACGACAGACGCCAGCTTGGCCCTATCCACATAAGCATCAGGGCCATACAGGTCAACAGCACAGAGCTCCTCAATGCTGCCATGTAAGAAAAACAAAAAGAAACGAGAGGAGTATTAATCTCACTAAACTAGCAGGATACACTGAAAAACTATGTGTGTTCTGTTATAAATGTGTTTACTGATTACTTGACACTCAAATTCATTACATGACCCTGGAAAGCAAACATGGGTTAACAATGAACACAGGGCCCATGAGCTAATCCAACCGTGGAAATCAACACGGGGCTAAGCCACATCAGAGGCTTGCTTACCATAAGGTACAGGGAAAGCATGAAAATCAAACAACTGATGAGATCCTTTACTTTAGGAAATGGGGCTATAGCAGAAACACACGCAGCTGCCAGAGTATGTTACAACCTTAAATTCCAACACAACACTGATCCCAAGAATGATCTGAATGCCCACCTCTGTGCTGTTATTTTTTCCTTGAGGTACATCTCAAGGGTGTCTTTGTATGGGGACTTCTTTAGTGCTTTCATCAGGCTTACACAAACATCAGGAAGATGATTCATAACTAGGACATCACCAATATTGAAACCTATGCTCGAGGGCTCACATAGGGTTTTCACCAAGAGTTTCATAAGGTTTTTGTTATTACATAAATCCTTCTCAAGGAGCTGTAAAAGATGATTTGGGAAAAAAAAAAAACAAAAAACAAAACAAAAACACATCCATTAGTCAGCACTTAAATTTTCACTAGTGTAAGGTCCATGAAGCCGGGAATTTTTGCCGGCTAGGGCAGGAGTTGGCAAACTTTCTCTGTAAAGGGTTGGAAAATAAATATTTTAGGCTTTGTGGGCCCTATGGTCTCTGCTGCAGCTGCTGAACTGACTGCCATTATAATGTGAAAGCAGCCACAGACAATACATGGACAAATGGGCTTAGACAAGTTCCAATGAAACCTTCCTTACAATAGCAGGCAGCAGGTGGGATTTGGCCTGTGGACCATAGTTTTATGGCCCCTGGTTTAGAGTAGACACTTAGTATGTATTAAATGGATACACCAACTGGACTTTGTTTATATAATAAGCCTCACAGACATTTACAAATATTTGTTAATGCATGTTTCCTAACGCAAACGTTTGATCATAGCATAAAATGCAATATCCAATAAAACATTTAGAAAAACTATTTTGTATTTTATTCACACAATAAGAATGTGATGTACATGCAAAATTTTATTACTTTCAAGAACACATAACTCCTATAGCAATGGAAAGTTCTAAGAAAACCAAAACCACTTTTAATAGGTACTAGAAAATATTTTTCCAGTGCCAAGTACTGACCTCAAACTAAGAGCACCAGGAGTGACCTACCTTCCAGCCTTCTGGGGAGATGCTGAGCAGCGTTGTGGTAAATTCCATAATCCGGACCACAATCGTGCATTTGCTGTAATTATATCTTTCTCCCTCTTGTGGGCTGGGTCTGTGACCTGTTGCCCCAGTGCCAAAGCACTTTTCTGCTGCCGTAATATCATGCATAGCAATGTTTTCTAAAAAGAAAGCCACCGCTTTCCAAAGTGAAGACTGTGTTTCAGTACCTAAAAAAAATTATACTGAATTATTAACATATGCTTCCTTCTAACTCCACGATGATTAATGTAAATAGGCATGATATACTTTTAGTCAAAATTCAAAAAAGCTTTAAAAAATATGCACATTAATTTCTATCAAATGTTAAAAAAGCTCATATGCTTTGATCCAGCATTGAAATTTTATCCTAATGAAATAATGGCAGAATTATAAAGATGTGTTTATAGGGATGTTCATTTTAGCTTTGTTTTTAATAATGAAGAAACAGAAACAACTGAAATGTCCTTCAAAGAGGCAACAGAGAAACAAATTCTGGCAGTGGTCTTTTTATGGAAACAATCAACTCCCAAAGAGACTTTTTCATAAAACTCACATGTCTAAAAACACAAAGGTACTGGTTCTCTGTCCCCCCATCCCTACTTCTTTCATGATTACCCCAGTCTTGCTTATGGAAGAAAGACAAAACAACTTTCTCCTCTCCTTAGTCTTACTGTAGTTTTGTACCAGAGAGTCAAGACCTCCCAAACAAAGGGACAGTCTTAAAAAGCGGTGTACATGTTGAAAGAGTAAAGGTAATGACTGAGTAAGTAATGCTTTTATAGAGGTGCCTGGGTGGCTCAGTAGGTTAAGCGTCTGCCTTCGGCTCAGGTCATGATCCCAGAGTCCTGGGATCGAGCCCCATATCAGGCTGCCTGCTTAGCAAGCAGTCTGCTCCTCCCTCTCCCTCAGTTCCTCCTCCCGCTCATGCTCTCTCTCTCAAATAAATAAATAAAAATCTAAAAGAAAAAAAAAAGAAATGCTTTTGTAAGTCTGAGGGTTTCTAATTCTTTGTTTCCATAAAATTTAAGTTCATCAAATTGCCAACTCGACAGAGCATTAAAAATAATTTTGATGACAGATCACTATGTATTCAAAGAAATGAGAGAAAAATATTAAGAATTTCATTTTCAAACATCAAATATCCTTGAATCCAACAGACCAGGGGCTGTATGACACATTCCAAACACAGATATGCTAAATGTGGAAAAAAATGAGCATTTTAGCAAGTTCATTTAGCACCATTCAAATATGGCACTTGTTTATGTGAAAAAGTTATTTTTTAGTAAAATCTATACAAAACAAAAATAGAATTCTAACCATATAATTTTACTTTTTCTATGTAATAATTATTCAACAAAATTTTTACTATGCTTATTTCGTTATAGTGGTAATAAACATAAAGTGCCCTAATAACAAATGCAATGATAATGCAACACAGAAGAAACCTATAACATGTAGACCATTTTGTTGCAAAGACAGAGCTATGAGTAAAAACATAAGCATAAAAACACAGAAGACTTAGGATAAAAAAAATGTTAAGGGTATAGAATGGTAAGAATAATTCAGGAACTTTGCAAAATTTCCAGTAAAGGAACTGTTAAGGCTGATGATGTTAAATAAAAAAACCTCTACAGTACTTAGGCTCCACTGAATACATTTTTTAAGTAATGCTAACAGTTTTATGTTAAAATACCCACATTTATGATACACCAGAAATTACAACTGAAAGCAACGGGGAATTTTTTGTCAAGTTTAAAAGAAGGTACATTGTTTTTAATGTTCCCCACTCCTCACAAGGTAAATGAATAAAACAGTTTGAAGACTGCTTAATTGTGACACATTCACTTAATTTAGTAATATGTGGTCATTTAAATTAGCTCAAGGTATATTTACTGACCTAAAAAGACATCCAATATGTTAAGTTTCTCTTTAAAAGTTAAGTTTCTTTTTAAAAAGCAAATTACAGTAAAGCATGCAATAATCGCATTAAGTTATAAAATAAAAATTAAAATATATATTATATGTATAGAAAAAGTTTAGAAAAGTAAAGACTATACTGTCTTAGTGTTTGTCACTAGGTAATGCAATTAGGGGAGAGGGGTTGACCTATTTCCTATGCTTTTTTTCCTTGTTGAAATTTTCAAAATGAGGGGCGCCTGGGTGGCTCAGTCATTAAGCGTCTGCCGTCAGCTCAGGTCATGATCTCAGGGTCCTGGGATCAAGCCCTGCATCAGGCTCCCCGCTCCGCGAGAGGCCTGCTTCTCCCTCTCCCACTCCTCCTGCTTGTGTTCCCTCTCTCGCTGTGTCTCTCTCTGTCAAATAAATAAAATCTTTAAAAAAAAAAAAAAAAGAAATTTTCAAAATGATATAGATCTCTTAAAACAACAAATTGAAGGTACTATTTGTAAGTGAATAGCTATACTATTGCTGTTTTTAAAGTTTCAGAACTTATCTGACCTATCCTTCTGAAATCCCATACTAGAATCATGCAGAATCCCATGCTAGAGAGTCAGATCTCAAAAGCATAGAATCTGTTTTCCTGAACCCCAGCATGTGTGTACGCCCCCAAATTTCACACTCCCCACCATGTCTGACTCCGACTTCCTCAAGCTAGAAGGAAGACAAGACAGCCTGGTACTTTCTCCCAAATTCCTGAAATACAGACTTCAGCTCTGACAGAATTAGAGACTTGTAGTTCCTTTAGTCAGCCACCACCAGAATGGATGCTCTGTCTACACTGAAAATCATTTAAGTAACAGGACATGTCTGAGTGGTAAGTTGGATGTTCAGCCCATGAGAGAGGATTTAGGTGAAACCCCTGAAGACTAAAATAGCTTGCTCAGAGAACCTCGAAGCCCAGAGCAACTTACCTCTCAGCTATGTTCCGCTCCCGGGTACTCTATTCTGGGAGAGACCCACCTCCCAGGAGCCATCTCCCACCTTCTGAGGTCCCATTTAGGTCACTAGAAGGATGGAGCCTCCCATCTCCTTCTTCCCAGAAAGGGCTAAGGAGCACACAAAACACTCCACCCTGCATTCTATCCTCTGTAAACAACACTATTATCATCATGCTACAATAAAAACACTAAGGAATAGGAAAATGTAAGAAAAATAAAGACATGCTACTCAAAAACCATGGAATAAGATCACAGAGCCTCATGTCAGGAAGAATTCATTTATTTCATAAACATTTAAGGATTTATTTATTTATTTGAGAGAGGGAGAGAGAGATAGAGAACATTAGCAGGAGGGGCAGAGGATGTGAAGCGGACTCAGTGCTGAGCATGGAGCCCAATGTAGGGCTCGATCTCAGGACCGTGAGATCAGACCTGAGCCAAAGCCAAGAGTCAGCCGCTTAACCGACTGCACCATCCAAGTGCCCCCATAAACATTTTTTTTTTAAGATTTTATTCTTTTAAGTAATCTCTACACCCAACGTGGGGCTGGAACTTACAACCCTGAGATCAAGAGTTGCATGCTCCGGGTGCCTGAGTGACTCAGTTAGTTAAGCTTCCAACTCTTGATTTTGTTCTTAGGGTCATGAGATGAAGCCCTGCATCCAGCTCCACACTGAGCGTGGAGCCTACTTAAGATTCTTTCTCTCCCTCCCTCTGCCTCTCTCTCTGCTTCTCTACCCCTCCCCACCCTGCTTGCACGCTCTCTCTAAAAAAAAGAAAAAAAAAGAATTGCATGCTCTATCAACTGGGCCAGCCAGACACCCAGGAAGAACTCTTTTAATGTGTTATATGCAAATGAAAACCTCAAAAGGTTATTTGATAAAAGGATCATCAAGAACCTGTAAACAGGGCACAGAAGTACAGACTGGGCAGGTTTCTGTAGCCTCAGTGCTGTCATATACACCAGAACCCTGCCCTCACTGTGAGCTTCAAGAATGCAAGTACTAAATTAATGCTCCCTGCTATCGCCTTTGTTTCTGGGATTCTGAGACAGTGGTGCCTGTCTAGTCAAACACCCCATTGCTCTTTTGCGCAGAATGACTCCAGGTAGAACTGGACCACAGTTAACTGGGGGTGTAGGTTTTACCTACCCAGGATCTCAGATGCTTCAAGGGTTTTCTCTTCAATGAATGTGTTGTAGCACTCCAGAGCTGCCAGAAGCATGTCCATCCACTGCAGGGCAGCTCTCAGGCTGAAACACCCTTGCAGATGGAAGAGGGTGGGCTGAGCAAGGATGCCTGACAGCCGATCACAGTCTCCTCCTCCCCCCTCAAATATGTTTATGAGAAAGGAAGTATCTTTGTTCTTAAGAATATCCTTCAGCCATAAAGAAGGGGATGTATTGCCTTAAAAAAGAAACAAGATTAAAACACACATATAAATAACTTTCACATAATTAAAATTAATCTAATCATGGTACCTAATTAAAAGTAGCATCCCCCAATAATAAAAAACAAGAATTAAAAGTCTGATATGTTAACAAACATATTCAGACCAGAACAAGACTGGCAATATCACAGTATTTCAAATATAGTTTCCATAAAAGTCCCATATAAAGTACCTACCAGAGCAATACAATTTCAGAATGATAAGGGATAATCTTTTTTTTTTAACTATAGCAATCACAACTTGTTTCACTGTAATTACTGCCAAGAAGGTATTTCCACCAAAGCCATCCTCTTCAGTTACTTTAAACATTATAAAAATGGTTGGATACCATTTGAACAGTTATAAACATCATATCCTTTCCCTTGCCTTTTTTCTTGACAGTTGTTATCCCTTTTTTTCAGGACTAATTTAAAGGATGAACACAAAAAGAGCACTGTGACTCTCAAGTTCCTATTCTACTTCTGGGTTATGTGGACCTGGCCTCTCTCATGTCCCGGTTTCCTCATCTGTAAATGAGAATCCTAACAGTATCTACCTCTGAGGTTCCTACAAAGAGTAAATGAATTGAAGTAGTTAATACTTGAAATAGTGCTTAGAATAGCATCTATCACTCAGTTAAATGCAGTTTTTATTAAATAAGAGTTGAATTATGTTTTAATTTTATTTATTTTTTAAGATTTTATTTATTTATCAGAGAGAGAGAGACAGAGGCAGGCAGAGGGAGAAGCAGGCTCCTTGCTCAGCAAGGAGCTCGATGTGGGACTCGATCCCAGGACTCTGGGATCATGACCTGAGCCGAAGGCAGACGCTTAACTGACTGAGCCACCCAGGCGTCCCTATTTTATTTATTTTTTAAAGATTTTATTTATTTGACAGAGAGAGAGAGAGAGGGAGGGTGCACACACAAGCAGGGGGAGCAGCAGAGGGAGAGAGAGAAGCAGAGTCCCCGCTGAGCAGGGAGCCCAATGCGGGGCTTAATCCCAGAACCCTGGGATCAATGACCTGAGCCAAAGGCAGACACTCAACTGACTGAGACACCTAGGTGCTCCGAATTAACTGCTTTTTAAAAGCATTTTTTCCTTTAGGTATTAATCATTTTCTAAACTAAAGAAAAAACATTAAATTTTATTTTGTATGCTCTGAAATCAGTGACGCTCAAAAGGTCAAATCATCCTGATTCTGATGAAGTTAGAGAAGAATTCAAAACACTAATGTATTTCTAATGTAGTAAAAAGAAGTAGTTTTCCTATTGTGTTAAAATATACCTATCACCGCTATAGAAGTAAAAGATTTAATATCATGTTTTCAGGTTTGTTTTAGGGAGAACTATTAAACATTCCATTATTTTCACTAAATATTGAAAAATAAAATAATATAATGAGTAAAAATAATATTTAAGTTCTATATCAAATACTAGCTAAGAGTCATAGAAGAGAAAGGACAGAAAGGACAGAGAGAGACAGTTGTAGAGAAAGAAGAGGATAAGGGAATATGAGGACCAAGAGACAGGTCTGGGAAAGCACATCTGGATTGCCGGGAACCTTCCCAAATCCCTGCCTCCTTCTGACTCTCCTCCTCTGAACTATGGCTGCTGTCACCCTGGCTTTCTGTCCAACATGAGTCTCAGCAGTCAGAAGCCCCTGACACATGTCATAGGGACATGTCTGTATACTTGTCATTATGGCCCACTGATCTAGGTGTTGCCCAGCAGCCCTGACAACAGCGTACTCTTTTAGGACACAGGACTTCTGATCTAAAAAGACACCTAACACTGACCCTTAAAAACCACTGGGAGTGGGGCACCTGGTTGGCTCAGTTGGTTAAGCATCTGACTCTTGATTTTAGCACAGGTCATGATCTCAGGGTTGTAGGATCAACTGAGCCCCCTGTTGGGCTCCACGATGGGTGTAGAGCCTGCTTGAAATTCTCTCTCCCTCCTCCGCTCCCCACCCTCTTAAAACACACACACACACACAAACCACTGAAGGCAGCATTGTTTACAACGAAGATATAGAATCAGCCCAAGTGTCCATCGACTGATGAGTGGATAAGGAAGATGCAGTATAAATATTATTCAGCCATAAAAAAGAATGAAATCTTGCCACTTACAATGACATGGATGGAGCTTGAGAGCATTATGCTAGGCAAGTCAGAAAAAGACAAACATTGTGTGATTTCACTCAAAGGTGGAATTTAAGAAACAAACAAACAAAACAGGGGCTCCTGGGTGGCTCAGTCAGTTAAACGTCTGCCTTCAGCTCAGATCATGATCCTGGGGTCCTGGGATCGAGCCCCATGTTGGGTTCCCTGCTCAGCAGGATCTGCTTCTCCCTCTGCCCCTACCCTGCTTGTGCCCTCTCAAATAAATAAGATCTTAAAAAACAAACAAACAAAAAAACCAAATGAACGTATGGGGGCAAAAAGAGGCAAACCAAGGAACAGACTCTTAACTATAAAGAACAAACTGATGGTTAAAGGATCATTTAACTGGTGGTGGGGCTTAAGAGTGTACTTGACATGATGAGCACCAGGTAATATATAGAATTATTGAATTACTATACTGTATATCTGAAACTAGTATGACACTGTATGTTAACTAACTGGAATTAAAATAAAAACTTAAGGGAAAAAAACTACTGGGGGGAAAACAGAGAGAGAATGGTGGATGCAACATTGGAGGGCACAGAGGAGCATAAGTGAAGGAATGTTCATTCCTTTTATACAAAATATATATTGGCAGCAGGGCAAGGTTCATCTACTACTTGGTATCCTTTGTGTAACAGAAACAATTCTGAGAAGCAGAGTTCTACTTATTTCATTGAAAATACGTGAGGTCTCTCTTGTAGGCAACTGAGAAGAACAATAGAAATGTCTAGGATCAGTCAAGCTGACAACACTAGAAATTGTGTGGGCTGAGGGAGAGTCAGAGATCTGCCAGGGAGGGAGGTAAGGTCTGCCAACTAGCAGTTGCACCCATATAATATCTGGGCCAAAGTTTCATTTAAAAATAAGGAAAATATTGGGGCGCCTGGGTGGCTCAGTTGTTAAGCGTGTGCCTTCGGCTTAGGTCATGATCCCAGGGTCCTGGGATCAAGCCCCGCATCAGGCTCCCTACTCCGTGGGAAGCCTGCTTCTCCCTCTCCCACTCCCTCTGTTTGTGTTCTCTGTCAAATAAATAAATAAAATCTTAAAAAAAATAAAAATAAAAATAAGGAAAACATGCCCCACCCTTCCACCCATCCAATCTTCATGGACTTTATAGGTGTATTGTAAGAATGACAACATATAAGACTAACTTTGTTCACTAAAAGCAATAAGCAAATATAAAATACTAGTGTTTTTTAAACAATTCTCTACATTAAAAATCCAAATACACATTACCACTTTATATATATAATTATAGTAAATAAATATAGACAAATATTTATATACCAGAAAGTATATGTAGTACTAATACAAATGCAACATATGCTATATAAATCTATGGCATATATCATAATACATTCCATAGTATAATAAAATATAGAATCTTCTAAGTTTTAGAACTATACCAAGTAATTGTCACTTCTTCTTCCATGAGGAAAAAGCCCCAAAGTAGTACTCCACCCAATTTTCTAAAAAGAACTGGGTCTTCCTCATGTTTTATAGTGTACCATGACCTTTCTTATCCAGACACCATAGCACCTCTTGGTTCTGGACTCTTGCACAGTGCATTCCATAGGGGGAAGCCAGGGCCTCGGTCCCTCCTGAGGCACAGTTTCCCCACACCTACACTCCCAAACCTCGGTCTGGACTTAACTGGAGAAAACAGAATACATTTATTCCTGCACTAAAAAATTTAGTAATATTTCAAGTCTGTAAGTATTGTTTAATGGCTTAGTGCAATAATTATTAAAAAGCATGGGTTCATTGCTTTCCTTTAATATCACAATAATCTGAGATCATTCAGATTTAGCAGTTTAGCAATTTCTTATTAATCACATGGTGAAATAAAACAACTGCATTATTTCACTAACTATTAACTGAATATCATGTTAACTGCACTGGTTATCCAACCCTTCTTCATTTCCTTTAAATGAGATAAAAAAGCAAAAATGTAGTAGGATAAAAAAGATACTGGGAAATTCTAAATTTACTTCCTCTATATCGTTTGACATCAAAATAGGATTTTTTTCTTTCCTTCTATAAATCTTTGATAAATGTACACCCCATAGTTTATCCTTTGTCATACAAATGATCTGTAATGATTATTGAATATACTTATCCTTTTATTAGGAATGTATTATTTGTTACACTCATCTATATAATGGAAAGGTTACATTTTAAATAAGTATACATCTCTTTTACTACTAGTAACAGCAAAACCCATAATTTATAGGACATAAAGATCACAATACCTGGCAATAAAGGAACAAATTTATAAAAGAGTTCTATGGATTTGTGTCGACATTCTGTTTGGGGCCTCCCACAGTGGGCTAACAGCCACTGGACCACATCCAGTAAACACAATGATGCCGCAGGTGGAAATCCTCTAAATGGAGATAACACACTATATTTAATACACATGCCCCAACATTTAGCATTTAGCTAAATGTTAGTACAGAAACCATAAACTCAATTTTGCCACACATGTAGAAACTTCATCAAAAGGCATTCAATTTATTTTTAATGTATTATCACTAGTATGCCATCAAAATGTCACAGGTTAAATATATTGGTCCTAAATGCTGCTTACCTTCATTTTTTGTTAACTCGAGGGAAAAGTTAAAAAGTATTTCTTAAAACAACAGTACCAATATTTTCATGTTTCCTTTCCAATGTACCTTAAAACAAAGGGGGATTTGAAATCTAAAGCAATGTTTCTCAAATTGTGGTCCCTGAGCCAGCTGCATCAATATTATCTGTAAAACTTGGCAGAAAATGCAAATTCTTGGCCCCACTCCAGACCTACTGAAAGATTCTGGGGGCAGGATGCAGCAACCTATGTTTGTTGTTTTTTTTTTTTTAAGATTTCATTTATTTACTTGAGAGAGAGAATGAGATAAGAGAGAGAGAGCATGAGAGGGGGGAGGGTAGAGGGAGAAGCAGACTCCCCGCCGAGCAGGGAGCCCAATGCGGGACTCGATCCCGGGACTCCAGGATCACGACCTGGGCTGAAGGCAGTCGCTTAACCAACTGAGCCACCCAGGCGCCCGCAACCTATGTTTTAACAAGACCTCCAGGTAATTCTGATGCATGTTTCAGTTTGAGAACCAATGATCTGGAGAGGTCAAAAGTTAACAATAGGATCTGAAGGGATCAATTTTAAAACAACAGAGAAAATATTAATATCTAATTTACATGTGCCAATGCTTCTGCAGAGTGGTAGCAGCCAGCAGACTCCCTAGACACCCTGCACAGATCTGGAGGGGCTGATGCATGGCACACCCCATCCTTCTGGAGAATAAGACCTTGCTAGGATGGAATTAACAGTCAAGACTGGATACCACTGATTAATAAGCCTGCCTTGGCTTTGGGTAGCTTCATTTCATAATTCTGTAATTCCATGGCTGTCAAAATGCTACTATTTCAATATTTCAGTTTTTATATTTCAAATTTACTCCATAATAGCTCATGCATTTTCTAGTCAAATAATTCCACACCAAATTTGTATTCAAAATTAGTGCAGATAAAATGTGTTACAAATTTATACCTTAAACCAAGCATTTTCAAACACAAAGCTTTTTAGTGTCCTAGAAATTGACTCCTATTTCCACGCAGTCCTTGTTTAGAAAATGGATTCTTTATGCTTCCACACATTCCTTCCAAATTCTTTTACTGAGAATTAGTTTTATGTTGGAAAAAATAAAAAAGGGAAGCAATTAGCACCTACCGTGGCCTACGTCGCTTTTTTACTTTGTTTAAAGATACATACTTCTTTTCAATGATACGCCTTAGGTGATCAATGGCATCACAACATTGTTGAATTGTACCTGTTCTCGAGTATAAAAATATATTTCCAAAGGAGATAAATAGCTAATTATTATTAATAAAATAGCATTATAAGTTTATTGACCTAGTTTAACTAAAAAGGTAATTTTACAATAGAGTTAATATTGTTTCATCCCTCAGAATGCAAATTTTAAATAAATGATTTATATTGTCCCAAAACAAAAACAAAACCCACATTTAAGATTGCAGGATAGTATAGTGCACATGCACAAACACACTCACAGCAATACTGCACCTAATGAGAAACTGCTCCACCAGTCCCCAGCCAGCCAAAGCACAGCCTCACATAATGGATTTGAGGTGGAAGAGACTCTATGGGTATTACAAAACTCACATACCAGGCCAGATCCTATTTACCTCAATTTAAGCCTATTATTTAAGGGGTATAAATTCCTTGACCTCCCCTTGTTCTTATGTAGGTTAAGCCATTCGATAGCTTGATAATATAGCCACTGGAGGAGAACCAAAGTAAATTAGTAAAACCATCCACAGACATCTCGGGTTATTTAGGAAAGGAGCCTTACAGAACTTGAGTTCTGTAACCAAGAAAAAGTTTTCTTTTTATGCTTTGAAAATATGGCAGTGATTTTTAAAAGTTAAGTTTCACTTGTTGAGAAAATTCACCTATATAACTGTTAAGATAAACAATTTTAAGCTCTTTGATGACAAGAGCTAAATTTTAAGCACTTTTACCCATAGCAGGCTATCAACATGAAGAGTAATAGAGCTCAACCTGTGTTTTGAAAAAACAAAATAAAATCTGGATAAGTGAAAGAGCATTCTGCCACACACAGCTATGTGACCTAGATCAGTCGCTTGTGTTCTCTGGGTAAGAAGTCTAAGAAGACTTCTAGCCCAGAAATTCCAGGATGTTCATAATACCCGCTAGACAGAATTTCATTGTAAAGACTACCATTTATTACTCTCTTAGCTAATTTAAGTCTATGTCTGACTTATTATTTTGTATTATTTCTTAATTATGGTCAAAACAGCTTTATCACAATCTTGTAATGATATCTATTTTCCATGTTTCAAATTGTCATCAGTGAGACACTGGCCACATCTCAGTGGTTATCATACCCAGCTTTCTTTACATGGTGCAATCGTACATTCTCACATTTCGTGTCATCACAGTAACTGGCTGGCTTCATTGGAGCTGCACAATAAAACTGTCCCACCTGCCCTGGGCAGGATCTCTGACCAGCCAGGGGTCAAGCCCAGTGGCCACCAAGGGCACTCCCTGGAAAATATGTGGGCCTTAGAGGAGGCGGGCATTGAAGGGGCACCAGAGGGGCATATCTCATATCTCCCCTTCACACTTACCATTCTAAATGGGAGATGAGAGAAAAGAAAACACCACCTTAAGAGAGAACTACTTGAGGCTTAACCCCTGAGTGGAAAAGCTCTTATAGATTTGTCAGGCAAACAGAACTGGTGTGCAAACAAAAAGCTCAGATAAGACCTACCTAAGGATTTCTCATCTGTGTGTGCTAAGGCCAGACTTTCCAGATATGTAACCAATGCTTCAAACACAAACTGTTCTACCAAAGACTCTTCTTCCCTGTAAAATAAAGAATATTGAACCTCACCTAGGAAAACAATAAAGCAGGAGTGACAAGGGAAAATAATGTTATCAAAGAACACATAAATTAAACTTGTTTTAAAAAAAAATGGCTCAAATGTTTTGAAACATAAAGCAACCTAAAATACTTCTCAAAGAAAACTTCCTCAAGAGCAGACCAAAAAGTACATAAACCAAGAGACAACAGTGGCTTTTTCTGTGCACACAAGTACCCTTCCATCTGTAGAACTGCTCATAGCACATAAGCTCTGAACCACTGTTCTGACCACACTTCCACACACCTCATTAAGATTAATAGAAAAGGTCTCATACCACATCCACATTCTTTCAGAATAAAAGAATTTCAAGAGCTCTCACCCTATCCAAAAGTAAGTCAACACCAACAGTAAACGGTAAGCCTTTTACAAGCACATCAGGCACATGAAAGTAATTAATTCAATCAACAATGTCTGTGGACCATCTTCTTATATAGAGTAAACTCATGGGTGGGTGAAGGGCAGAGGGCAGATCTCTCCCTCGAAAATCTGTTCCTTAATAACACAGGACAGCAAATGATTAAGTATAAAATGACAGGGCTAGGTACTAAGTCTCAGAGGAGTTCAGAGAATAGCACGAGTTGGAAGTTCTACTTGTGTGATGAAGTGCTGGGTCACTGCACAGCCCACGGGAAGGAGTGCATTCCTGGGACAAACAGAACTGGAGTGAGGTGCTGGAGGACGGAGAGCACTTAGAACAAGAATTACAAACTGATGCTTGGTTTGGCAGGAATACTGTCCCAGTATTTTTTTTTAAGTTTGAATCCTAGGAGGGGCAGGGCCTGTCAGAGTTCCACAAGCTCCACATCTCCCCTAGTGTCACACACCCCGATCTGACACTGAAAATAAAGGACATTCCCCATAAATGTGTGGTATGGGCAAAGACATGGAGGCAAGATGAAAAACACAGGAGACAGCAAGCAAACTGGCAAAGCTAGAAGAAAAGGTTCACTTGGAAGAGCAGTTTGTGATGAGATTGCAAAAGTTGGGGTGGGGGGGGTCTTGAAAGGCCAGGCTGAGCATAATAGTTTTTAGCTTATGTATCAACACCAACTAAAATAGGTAATTAGAGAAATGACATGACAAAATGATGCCCTAAAACTGTGCTTCCAAAGAAAGGTGTACAAAACAGTTCATTAGCATGCAGAAAGGAAAAAAGAGAACTCATATTTATAGTATTCAACATGCAAGACCTCAAAAAATTTATCACTCATGCACCTTTTCTCAAAAAGCCACTTCGAATGTGATCCAACAAATCAAGAGTATCCAAAAAGGAAGACAAGAGAGGAAAAGGAAACAAAAGATCAAACACAGGGAATAAGTACAGAGGACATCCAAGAGGAGAGGCAAGGAGACCCAGACTTGACAGGTGAGCAAGGATCCAAAAAAGAGACTTGTTAAAGCTGTCTCCACCAAAACACCACAGTATGGATTTTTCAACCTATAAAGAAGAAAGCCTAAATTCCTCTTAATCTGGCCTACCACGATCAGGTAAAGTTCTTCTCCTGTCCATGTTCAATCTGGAGCAGCTGACAGTGCTCATTTATCCCACATGAGAATTTTGCTTTGACATGCTCCTGACACATGGGGGTGGACCAATGGGAACTGAGATGCAGAATTTAAAGGGCAGTCCACACTCCCAGACAGTATTTCTCCCAGATGTCAGTTGTAGTCTACTTCACACCATTCTGGAGAGCTCTGCTTCCCAAAACTAACATGAACCTTGTCACTCTAATTCCTTGGAATGCGCTTCTGTAATCTTTCATGGAAGCTGAAACCAGTCTCCACTGAACAGAATATCCCAGGATACTTCACCTAACAGCGAAAACACTGACCTTTACTGCTTGCCAAAATCCAAAAATATATCATTTAGGGTATATACATACAAAATGAAACAAAAACAAACAAGGGAATAAGTAATGTAAAGAAAGAATGATTAGTTCAGAGCAGAGGAAGGTCTGAAATACTGAAAATACTCCATTTCTTAACCTAGGTGAGTATACAAAAACTTGTTTTATTATCATTCAAGAAACTTTAGAGTTTTTTTTTTTAACCTGAGGCATACTTGACATACAACATTGTATTAATTCCAGGAGTACAACATAACTCTGCATTTGTATATGTTACAATATGATCACCACAGTAAGTCTAGTTAACATGGATCACCATACAGTTACAAAATTTTTTTCCTTGTGATGTGAACATTTAAAATCAACTGTCCTAGCAACTTTTAAATATGCAATACAGTATTATTAACTATGGTCACCATACTGTACTGTATAGGCACACCTCAGAGATCTTACGAGTTTGGTTCCAGGTGACCAAAATAAAGCAATTATCTCAAAAAAGGGAGTGAAGTGAATTTTTTGGTTTCCCAGGGCATATAAAAGTTATGTTTACACTGTACTGTATATTAAGTGCACAACAGTATTATGTCTAAAAAATGTACATACCTTAATTAAAAATACTTTATTGCTAAAAAATGCTAACCATCTTCTGAGCTTTCAGCAAGTCATTATCATTTTGCTGGTGGAGGGTCTTGCCTCGATGTTGATGGCTGGTGTTGACTAATCAGGTTTGTGGCTGCTCAAGGTTGGGCGGCTGTGACAACTTCTTCAGATAAGGCAACAGAGAAGTTTGCTGCATAGATCAACTCTTCCTTCCAGACCCAATTTCTCTAAAGCATGTGATGCTATTTGGTAGCATTTCACCCACAGCAGAGTCTCTTTCAAAATGAAATCAATCCTCTCAAACCCTGCCACTGCTTTATCAACTAAGTTTATACAGTATTCTAAATCCTTTATTGTCATTTCAACAATCTTCACATAATCTTCAACACAAGTAGATCCCGTTTCAAGAAACCACTTTCTTTGCTCATCCATAAGAAGCAACTCCTCATCCATTAAAGTTTTGTCATGAGATTGCAGCAATTCAGTCACACCTTCAGGCTTCACTTCTGATTCTGGCTCTCTTGCTCTTTTCAACACATTTGCAGTTACTCCCTCCATCGAAGTCTTAAACCTTGACTTCAAAGTCATCCATGAGGTTAGAATCAACTTCTTCCAAACCTCTGTGAATGTTGATGTTTTGACCTCTTCCCATGAATCATGAATGTAATTAATGGCATTTAGAATGGTTAATGCTTTCCAGGTTTTCAATTTATTTTGCCAGATTCATCAAAGGAATTACTCTCTATGGCATCTATAGCGTTATAAAATGTATGTCTTAAATAATAAGACTTGAAAGTCAAAACTACTCTTTGATCCATTAACTGCAGAACGGATATTGTGTTAGCAGGCATGAAAACAAATAATCTCATGATATCTCTCCATCAGAGCTTTTGGGTGACCAGGTGCATTGTCACTGAGCAGTAATATTTTGAAAGGAATCTTTGTTTCTGAGCAATTCTCAACAGTGGGCTTCAAATATTCAGTAAACCAGGTTGTAAACAGATGGCTATCATCCAGGCTTTGTTGTTCCACTTAGAGAGTACAGGCAGAGTAAATTTAGCATAATTCGAAAGGGCCCTAGGATTTTCGGAATGGTAAATCAGAACTGGCTCTAACTTAGTCACCAGCTATATTAGCCTCTAACAGGAGAGTCAGCCTGTCCTGTGAAGCTCTGAAGCAAGGCACTGACTTCTCTCTAGCTATGAAAGTACTAGATGGATTATTCTTCCAGTAGAAGGCTGTTTCATCTACACTGAAAATCTGTTGCTTACTGTAGGCACCTTCATTAATTATCTTAGCTAGATCTTCTAGATAACCTGTTGCAGCTTCTATATCAGCACCTGCTGATTCATCCTGCACTTTAATGTTATGAAGACAGCTTCTTTCCTTAAACCTCATGGATCCTCTGCTAGCTTCAGACTCTTCTTCTGCAGCTTCCTTACCTTCTCACTGCATAGAACTAAAGAGAGTTAGGGCCTTGCTCTGGATGAGGCTTTGGCTTAAGGGAGTTTTATGGCTGGTCTGATCTTCTATCCAGACCACTACAACTTTCTTCATATCAGCAATAAGTCTGTTTCAAATCCTTTTCATCCATGTGTTCACTGGAGTGTCAGCTTTATTTCCTTCAAGAACTTCTCCTTGGCATTGACTACTTGTCTAACTGGTGTAAGAGGCCTAGCTTTTGGCCTATCTCGACTTTTGATATGCCTTCGGCACTAAGCTTAATCATTTCTAGTTTCTGATTTAAATTGAGAGATGTGCAACTCTTCCTTTCACTTTAAAACTTAGAGGCCATTGTAGGGTTATTAATTGGCCTAATTTCAAAACTGTTGTGTCTCAGGGAATAGGGGGGCACGAGGAGAGGGAAAGAGATAGGGGAACAGCCAGTTGGTGGAGCAGTCAAAACACACACATTTATCAATTAAGGTCACTGTTTTATATGGGAGCAGTTCATGGCACCCCAAAACAATTACAATAGTTATATCAAAGATCACCATCAGAGATCACCACGCCAAATACAGGAATAATGAAAAAGTTTGAAATAATTTAAGAATTACCAAAACATGACTTAGAGATACAAAGTGAGTAAATGTTGGAAAAGTAGTGCCTACTCAAAGTCAATTTGTAAAAAATGCAGTATCTGTGAAGAGCAATAAAATGAAGCACAATAAGGGATGCTTGGTGGCTCAGACGGTTAAGCATCTGCCTTTGGCTCAGGTCATGATCCCAGAGTTCCGGGATCGAGTCCCGCATCGGGCTCCTTGCTCAGCAGGGAGTCTGCTTCTCCCTCTGCCCCCCCATCTTCTCTCGCTCACCCTCTCTCAAATAAATAAATAAAATCTTTTTTAAAAAATGAAGCACAATAAAATGAGGAATGTCTGTACATCCCTGACTTATTTATTTCATAATTGGAAGTTTGTACCTTTTGACCAGTCACCCATTTCGCCTACCTCTCTTCCCAGCCCGTGGCAACCACCAATCTCTTCTCTGTATCTTTGAATTTTGTCTTTTTTTTTTTTTTTTTTAAGATTTCACAAATAAGTAAGACCATAGGTATTTGTCTTTCTCTGACTTATTTTACTTAACATAATGCCGTCAAGGTCCATCCATGTTTTCACAGATGGCATGATTTCATTCTTTTTTTCACAGCTGAATAATACTCCGTTGTATACATATACCACATTTTCTTTATCCATCCATCCACTGATGGACACATTCCATATCTTGGCTATTTTAAATAATGCTGCAATAATCGTGGGGGTGCATACATCTTTTTGAATGTTTCATTTCCTTTGGATAAATACCCAAAAGTGGAATTGTTGGATCATATGGTACTTCTATTTTTAATTATTGAGGAACCTCCATACTATTTTCCTTAGTGGGTCTGTCAATTTGCATTCCTATCAGCAGTGCACAAGGGTTCCCCTTTTTCTACATCCTTGCCAACATTCGTCATTTCTTGTCTTTTTCATAGTAGCCATTCTAACAGGCATGAGGTGATATCTCCTTGTAGTTTTGATTTGCATTTCCCTGATGACTAGTGATATTGATCACTTTTTGTCACCTTTTCATTTTATTGATGGTTTCCTATGCCATGCAGGAGCTTTTAGTTGATACAGTCCCACATATTTATTTTTGCTTTTGTTGCCTTTGCTTTTAGAGTTAGAATCAAAACATCATTGGCGAAACTGATGTCACACAGCATACCACCTATGTTTTCTTCCAGGAATTTTATGGCTTCTCAGGTCTTACATTCAAGTCCTTAATCCATTTTGAGTTAATTTTTGTGTATGGTGTAAGATACTAGTTTAGTTTCATTCTTTTGCATGTGGCTGTCCAGTTCTCCGAACACCAGCATGTAGTGAAGAGACTGTCCTTTTTCCACTGTTTATTCTTCGCTCCTGGGTCAAAAACTCATTCACCATGTTTGCCTGAGTTTATTTCTAGGCTATTTTGTTCCATTAACCTGTTTTATGCCAATACTACACTGTTTTGATTACTACAGCTTTTGTAGTATAGTTTGAAATCAGGGTGCATGATGCCTCCAACTTTGTTCTTCGTTCTCAAGATTGCTTTGGCTCTTCAATGTATTTTGTTGTTCCACACAAATTTTAGGATTGTTTGGTTTCTATGAAAAATGCCATTAGAATTTTGATACGGATTGCACTGAATATGTTGATTGCTTTGAGGAATATGGACATTTTAACAATATAAATCCTTCCAATACATGAGCATGGTTTATCTTTCCACTGATTCTTCAGTTGCTTTCACCAATGTCTTATGGTTTTTAATGTATAGGTCTTTCATCTCCTTGGTTAAATTCATTCCTAGATATTTTATTCTTTTTGATGTGATTATAAGTGGGATTGTTTTCTTAATTTCACATCCTGATAATTGGTTATTAAAGTATAGAAATGCAACAGATTTGTATATACAGATTTTGTGTCCTACAACTTTACTGAATTCATTTATTAGTTCTAATAGTTTTTTGGTGAAGTCTTTAGGGTTTTCTATATATAATACTGTGTCATCTGAAAATTGTGACAGATTCATACATATGTTTTAAACACTCTTCTGTACATATAAGTTTCACAATTTTAAAAAGCTAAAAAAAAATAACATAGTGGCTTCAAACTCTAGTCAATTTTCATATAAATGTGCACATGAACACATATACACATACACAGTTTCCTATCCATCCATCCATCCTTCTCTATCATCTATCTTACTTTTACAATTGTTCCTTCTTCTTTATCATAACTGTCATTTCATGAGAGAACTATCTGGACCAAACAAAGTCAGGTTCCTCATTATAAAATTACTTGTAATCATCTACTACTACTTAAAAGAACTGATTTCAGCAACAAGTTTTACAATTATCTATGTGATTAATTATTATCTATCTCTTTTTTAAAATGTAATCCTCATGAATGGCTGTATCTGTTGATCATCAGCATTTGGCACAGTGCTTGGCACATAATATTCTTAATAAGTAACAATAAATGAATGAACAAACACTACTAAAACCTTAGGTCAGGGACTAATGATTCTTTTTTTTTTTTTTTTGGATTTCTGAAACAACCCCTTCACTGGTGTCCTGGCCCTGTCTTATATCACTCAGATCTACTCTCCATATAGCTATGGGCAGGTGGATTTTAGGAGGAAATTTAAACATGCAGCTCTCTTCTCCCAAAACTCCAGGAACTTGTTGTCACTAGAAGTAACCTATTTTTTTTAACAATACAAACAAAAGCTCCAGGCCAGTCTCACTATGCTCCCTTTCAAACTTCCAACTCCACAGTCAAGGAAAATAAAATGTCTTCATCTCCTTATATAACATCCTATTTTTTATCTCTACCCCATTTCTTTGATCTGAAATGCTTTGGCTGATTTATTTATCCTTTAAGCTTCATCTAAGTATAAACACTACAGGAAGACTTCTTTAACCTACTCAAGCTGGCTCAGATACTCCTCTTCTGTGCTCCAAAGATTATGTCCTCTGTTGCATTTAAAAGACTGCTGTGGTATTATGTTTGTACGTATTTCTCAGTAGTTTCTGAGCTTCCTGAATGCGAACTGTATTTTAATTCATTTTTTAATCCCCAGAAAATAGCACAGCATCTGACACATAATAGTTAACTAAATGCCTGATATACGAATACATGGATACATAAACAGCACTTTTCACAATCACTACTAAAAATTTCAAGAACTTATTTTATATTCTTCCCTGTCATATGGCTTACTTACCTGAATTCCCTATAGATATTATTAAAGGCAAGTGATGCTCCTAGCCTCTTGAAAGCATTAGGGTGAAGGGCAAAGCTGTACAGTCGCTTGAAAAGCGATTTGGTGTTGACTGGACTTTTTTCCTGCTGCTGCGGTGTTGTCTGCTTAATGGACCATTTGAGGAATTCGCGAATACACCGACCACAAAAATCTCTTAAAGTACTGTCAACAGGGTCTACAATTCCATCCTAAAACAAAACATAAGATGTCAACTGAACACCCTGGTCTTTTCTGAGTATAACTACAACATGTTGTGAAAATTAATTTAGAGCACTATTCAAGAAAAAATAAGCACAAGTAAAACCAATCAGATGGTTTAGAAACTAAACTCTAATAACAATGTCCTTTTGACATAATGAAAACACTTTCTTTCCAAAAAACTAAGAAACGGGATGCCTGGGTGGCTCAGTCAGCTGAATGGCTGCCTTCAGCTCGGGTTACGATCCCAGAGTCCTGGGATCAAGCCCCACACTGGGCTCCCTGCTCAGCGAGGAGCCTGCTTCTCCCGTCTGCTGCTCCCCCTGCTTCTGCTTGCTCTCTCCCTCTCTGCCAAATAAATAAAATCTTTAAAAAACAAAACAAAAAACAAACAAAAAACTAAAAAACTGAAAAATCCATGAAAAAAAGAAAGACTATTTTAATTATGTAGTAACAAAATTTCTTCCTTTCCCTGAAGAAACCCAATGGCTATATCCTAAAAGTTTCTCTGGTGATTTTACCTTATAACAGTATTTGAGATGCTTTATTGAGGTTAAAGAAAATAAGATCCTTCTGGGTTCCAAGAGAACTGTAATGCTACATAAAGAAAAATCATGGGGGAGAAGCAAGATGGCGGTGGAGGAGGAGACCTAAATTTCGTCTGGTCCCAGGAATTCAGCTAGATAGGTATCAAAGCATTCTGAACACCTACAAACTCAACAGGAGATTGAAGAATAGCAGCAACTCTCTGAACAGAAAAATGACCACTTTATGGAAGGTAGGATGTGCAGAGAAGTGAATCCGAGGCGATATTTGGGAAGATAAATGGCGGGGGGAGGGAGCCTCCATCAGCCACTACCAGCAAGTGATAGAGCAGCGGGGCACAAAATCGGAACTTATAGAAGTCGGCTCTGCTGAGGGACATGACTCCAGTGGCTAAGCGGGGGATGGAACCCTTGCTGGGACAGTGTGATCTCAGGACCCTTGGGGTCACAGGAAGACCAGGGGTGCCTGAGTGTGGCAGAACTCCCAGGTATCAGAGCAGGGAAACCGGCTGCACAGACGGAGCCGAGGAGTGGGCTCTCAGCTCAGAGTTGCCATAAACCATGATCCACGGCACAGTCGAGCCACTGCTCTTCCAGCAGGGACCCAACAAGCGGCAGATCCGGGGAGACTCCCCTTCCTCCCCTGGGAGGAGCGGCGCGGGAGCGCACTGCAGGGATCTGCTGGGTTTGGAGACTCCACACTGGGTCGTGTGCCAGAGATAGAAACGCTCGGTCACAGGCTGGGTGAGCACGGAGTGCAGCTGGAGACCAGGGAGACGGGAGTGATTGACTGCTTTTCTCTGGGGGCGCACTGAGGAGTGGGGCCCCAAGTTCTCAGCTCCTCCAGTACCAGAGATCGGGAGACTGCCATTTTCACTCTCGTCGTCCAAAGCTGTAGAGAAAGCTTTCAGGGAATAAAAGCTCCCGAAAGCAAACCTGAGCAGATTACTTAGTCCGCCCCGGGAAGGGCGGGGCAATTCAGCCTCGGGCAAAGACATTTGGGAACCATGGCAACAGGCCCCTCCTGCCGAAGATCAGCAAAAACATCCAGCCAAGACCAAGTTTACCAATCAATGAGAACTGCAAAACTCCAGAGCTAGGGGAATACAGCACATAGAAATCATGGCGTTTTTCCCATGATTCTTTAGTCTTCCATATTAATTTATTAAATTTTCTTTTTTTAAAAAATTTTTCTTTCATTTTCAACCAACAACTTATCAATTCCTTTTTATTTTTATTTTTTTAAAGATTTTATTTATTTCACAGAGAGAGACTGAGAGCAGGAACACAAGCAGATGGAGTGGGAGAGGGAGAAGCAGGCTTCCCGCCGAGCAGTGAGCCCGATGTGGGGCTCGATCCCAGGACCCTGGGATCATGACCTGAGCCGAAGGCAGACGCTTAATGACTGAGCCACCCAGGCGCCCCCAATTCCTTTTTAAAAATCTTTTTTAATTTTCCTTTTTACAACCATATTCTATCCCTTCATTGTATTTAACCTTATTTTTTGTATATATATAAACACGTTTCTCTTTCTTTAAAATTTTGGGATACAGTTTCCTCTCACAGACCAAAATATACCCTAAATCTCTAGTGTATGGCTTTGTTCTAGTCTCTTGCCTGATCACATTTTTTTTTTTTAATTTTTCTTCTTTCTTTTTTCAACCAACTTCTTAACAATTCCTTTTTTAAAATCTTTAATTTTCATCTTTACAGTCATATTCCATCACTTCAACGTATTTACTCTTATTTTTGGATATACATAAGTGTTTTATTCTTTAAAGTTTGGGGAGGCACTTTATTCTTTCTTTTTTTTTGGGGGGAGGCAGTTTATTCTAATAGACCAAAATACACCCAAAATCTAGTGTGTGGCTCTGTTCTATTCACCAGCCTGATCATATTCTTTTTTTTTTTCTTTCCCTTTTTTTTCCTTTCTTTAACCCTGGTTTTGGGTCTCTTCTGATTTGTTTAGTGCATATTTTTCTGGGGTCATTGTTACTCTTTTAGTATTTTGTTCTCTCATTCATCTATTCTTATCTGGACAAAATGACAAGATGGAAAAAATCACCTCAAAAAAAAAAGAACAAGAAGCAGTACCAACTGCCAGGGACCTACTCAATACGGACATTACTACGATGTCAGACCTAGAGTTCAGAATGATGATTTTAAAGATACTAGCTGGGCTTGAATAAAGCATGGAAGTTATTAAAGAAACCCTTTCTGGAGAAATAAAAGAACTAAAATCTAACCAAGTCAAAATCAAAAAGGCTATTAATGAGATGCTATCAAAAATGGAGACTTTAACTGCTAGGATAAATGAGGCAGAAGAGAGAATTAGTAATAGAGAAGGCCAAATGATGGAGAATAAAGAAGGTGAGAAAAAGAGAGAGAAACAACTACTGGATCATGAGGGCAGAATTTGAGAGATAAGTGATACCATAAGA